GTTCTTATACACAATCCGAAAGCCGGTGCGGAGCAGTCGAACGCCTCAGAAGACATTCTAGAGACTTACATCAAATCTGACCGTAAGCTTACTACCGAAGCCCTCTCCGGGATCATGAACCGGAATGCCAGCTACAGACCAACTCCCGCCAACTCCACTCTATTCTGGCAGGTTGCTGAGCCAATCTACGACGCGTTCGGTCTGAAACCGGGACAGAACGGCATGCTTGTCAACGGACGCTACGTGGGACCCATCCCAGATGATTACGGATTCTCATACGATGACGTGGAAACTTTTGTCACTTATGAGCAGGTCAAACGTATTGAGCCGTTGAACAAAGCGCTTGCCGATCTTGAACTCATGGAAAAGATCAAATCTCCAATAGATGTTGCGAAGATCCAGTCGCTGGTCGCACTTTCCACCGTGTCGGACGTTCCAGAAGGCATTTTCGAGACTGCATCAACCCTGAGGATGAGCACTTACAACAACTGGACTGCCAAGCACACCGCTATCTTCCGGGGTGACGAAGACAACGCTGTCTTCCAGATCGTGGCCTCAATTGACCCCGCGACAGAGCTCGCACAGAAGTGGGTACCAATCCTTAAAGTACTCAGCGACATGGAGGGCACACACCTCAAGCTTTTCCTCAACCCCAAGCAGATGCTTCAAGAGCTTCCTGTCAAGCGTTTCTACAGATACGTCCTCGAAGCTCGACCATCCTTTGTCGCCGATGGATCCATCGGAAGCCTTGGAACCCACTTCTATGGCATTCCCAAGGAGGCTTTGCTGAACCTTGGCATGGATGTGCCGCCCTCCTGGCTAGTTGCCCCGAAGGAGTCTGTATATGATCTCGACAACATCAAACTTAGTACCATTCCTGCTGGTACCGATGTTACCGCTGTCTATGAATTGGAGAACATCCTTATCGAGGGCCACTCTCGTGACACTACGAATGGTGGTCAGCCGCCGCGTGGTGCTGAAGTTGTTCTTGCCACTGATCGGGATCCTCATTTCGCGGATACCATCATCATGGCTAATCTCGGCTACTTCCAGTTCAAGGCCACTCCTGGCTTTTACAACATTCAGCTCAAGAGCGGTCGCTCTCAGGAAGTTTTCAGCCTTGATAGTGCAGGCCCTATCAGCTGGGCACCCGTGCTTGGTGACGAGACTACCGAGATTGCTCTCATGAGCTTCCAGGGGGCTACAATCTTCCCGCGACTATCGCGCAAGCCAGGCCACGAGGAAACCGATGTACTCGCTCCTGAAGAATCGCTCGCATCCGAGCTTGTTGGCAAGAGCGCGCAGAAGGTCAACAAGTTCCTCGGCAAGATTGGTCTAAACTTTGACTCCGAGAAGGTTCTGCAAAAGGGCGCTGACCTGTTCTCCGGAAGCAAAGCGGCGAAGAAGGGCACGCAGGCAGACATAAACATCTTCTCCGTCGCTTCGGGCCACTTATACGAGCGCATGCTGAACATCATGATGGTATCCGTCATGAAGCACACCAAACACACCGTCAAATTCTGGTTCATCGAGCAATTCCTGTCCCCCAGCTTCAAATCCTTCCTCCCGCACATCGCCGCCGAATACGGTTTCGAATACGAAATGGTCACCTACAAATGGCCACACTGGCTGCGCGGCCAAACCGAAAAGCAGCGCGAAATCTGGGGCTACAAAATCCTCTTCCTAGACGTCCTCTTCCCGCTCGACCTCGAAAAAGTCATCTTCGTCGACGCCGACCAAATCGTGCGAACAGACATGTACGAACTCGTGCAACACGACCTAGAAGGCGCCCCTTACGGCTTCACACCCATGGGCGACTCGCGCACCGAAATGGAAGGCTTCCGTTTCTGGAAAACAGGGTACTGGGCTAACTTCCTGCGTGGTCGCCCCTACCACATTTCCGCGCTGTACGTCGTAGACCTAACCCGCTTCCGCCAACTCGCCGCCGGCGACCGCTTGCGTCAACAATACCACGCCCTCTCCGCGGACCCCAATTCCTTATCCAACCTCGACCAAGACCTGCCCAATAACATGCAGTTTAACCTCCCAATCCACAGTTTACCCCAGGAGTGGTTGTGGTGCGAGACTTGGTGTAGCGATGAGGATTTGCACAAGGCGAAGACAATTGATCTTTGTAATAATCCGCAGACTAAAGAGCCGAAGTTGGAGAGGGCAAGGAGGCAGGTGCCTGAGTGGAATGTTTATGATGGGGAGATTGCGGGGTTGGCTAGACGCGTGAAGGGGGAGGAGGAGAAGGCGGGTGTGGTGGATGTGCAGGAGGAGGAGCAGAGGAGGGAGAAGGAGGTGAAGGATGCTGAGAGTGAGAGGGAGGGGCATAGTGAGTTGTAAGATAGAGGACAGATGTCGTAAGAAGAAGAATGTCTTGGTGTGAGAGGGAAGCGAGAGTTCGTTACGATATTAGAGGTGCCGCAATCGCACGAAATTTCACCGCATGTTTCTCTGTACTTGCTAAGGCTTCGTGATGCTCTTCTAGTCGGGATTGAAGCCCCTTGAGGGGGGCTGTGTGACAAGGTGATTCGGTTACGAGTAGGTATGGGCATTGGAAGCCTGCGTTGCGTATAATGTTTGCGACAGCCTGTTAGCTACATCTTCTACCTAATCTCTTTCTTTAAAGGGGCATCACAATGAACCTAGTAAAATGTTTGCTAGTCGGGCACAAGTCGCAATCCCTGCTCCTTCATACCTAGGTAATCGTTGTTCTTCCCCGGTAGATGGACATAATGAATAGGGTGCGCCTTCGACTCAGACTGCGGTCTTGTCCTTCGGGCAGGTCATTGAGATGGTACTTTGGTATACGGTATGATTGCGATAGGTTTGATGTAGATGAATAGAACAGAGACCAGACGTTGACTTGACGATAGAAACACGGACTTATGTACCGCATGTAATACGACAGGAATACCCTACCCAAAACTCATGCTTGAAATCAGCAATGGCAATGGTTGATGTTCCGAGTGGCATCGTGACGCGCCTGCGCCTTGCCATCGAGAAGGGCCGATAGAGCCGTTTCTCCCGACCACCTTTACGATGATCGACAACCACCACGCGATGCGGTCATTACACTCCCACATCTGCACAACAAGTGCAAACACCGATAACAGGTTTTCGCTCTATTCAATATCGGAAACTATGGGTACGTTGGTGAGATGAGACAGATACCACACACGATCGGGTCTCGGCTCCCCTAGCGTATACCGGTGGCTACGCCGGCACGGCTGTACCTGGGTTGGGTGGAGAAGATAGGTTCATGCCAAGACAGGTATGACATAGGTGGTCCAACGGACAGACGACGCTGAAGACGTAATGTGGAGGTACTGTAACAGGCTGGCTGTGTGTGGTGTGGGTATATAAGGCTGGGTGCTGGTGTCTATGAAACGCTATACATCATCAACCACTCATCACAAAACAACTCGCATCTATCTCAAGCACAACTCCCTGTACACTTACCCAGCCAAACTACACATCACTTCCTCGTCAAACATGTCTGGCCAAGGAATTTCCCACCAGGGCATCACCGCCCCCGGTCTCAGCGAGGCGGACCAGAATATCAACAACACCACCGAGGATATCAGCAACAAGGCTTCGGGTCACAAGGCAAACTTGAGCAACCCCAGTACGCATTCCCTGAGATACCTAGCTGCGTGTTTGATGAGATGAGAGACTAACGCGTGATGCAGACACTAGCGAAGAGTCCAAGAAGAAGTCTGCTGAGGCACTCAAGGCACTTGGTGGTGAGGACGCTTTCTATGGAAAGCAGGGTAAGGGCGAGTAGGGAACTCTCTACTGCCTTGTTTGGGCAGAGATGAAGTTATGATACCATTTTGAGATGAGAATATAATGTCTTTCAACAGCAATGATGCGCGCGTCCAAATGGTGCATGAGTGATCTACAGCTTATTCGTATGCTCCATCGTACTGTACAAGTATGCTTTCAGGCGCAACCCAGAAGATGAAGCCCATAGTCAGCTGTTGTATGTCTGAAAAGCGGCACGAGGACAAGACGATGGACCATCGCGTCGGCGTTCTTTCCACGCGGAAAGCGATGACGTCATCAACATCATCGTCTCCTTCCCCACACATCTCCACCCCAGCCCTGCAGCCTCACCAAACATCCATCAACAACACCAAACACCCATCTTGACTCGACCTCCCATCTCATACCTCCCCAGGTACCACCTCACACTCCCCAATCATGACATCCTCAACCCCCTCCACCACCCCCTCCATACCAACCCTCCACACCAAAGCCGAGTACCTCAAAGCCGTCATGTACGAAGGCGTCACCATCCTCCAAGGCACAGCCACCTGGTGCAAGAACTGCCACATCGTCGCCCCTGAAGTCGCAAAGATGGTGGCTGAGTACCCAAATGTCAAGTTCTACACGTATGATGTGGAGGAGTGTGAGGATATTGCGCAGGAGCTGGGGGTTAGGAGTATGCCGACGTTTAGTGTGTTTAAGGATGGGGATATTATGGAGGGGGTTACCGGGGCGAAGCCGAAGGAGGTGAGGAGGGCTATTGAGGGGTGTTTGTAGGGAGAGTGGTTGGGTGATGGTCAGGGAGGGAGGGGAGGAGGTGGTGAGAGATGGAGGTGAGATGGAGGTGAGAGGTGAGGCTGGCGGCGATGAGAGACCGGGCTGGCGATGTCGGTCCGGTGTCTAAGAGAGGCCAATTATGGCCCATGACCTTCTAAGAGAGTAGCTGTTATGCGTTCGGTAATCGACATCTCTTTATCAGAAAGCGGTAAAGTCGCGGTACACTGTCACGAAAGTGAAAGCTGCTTCGCCAAGCGAGGCGCCGTTTGCGCAAATACTCTCGCACACTAAACGGGCTTTTGAAAAACCTTGCGTCTCTCATCGCACCACGCCATTGTTTTCGTTCCAAGGCGACTAGCCTACCAATTCGAAAGCGATCCCCTCTACACGATATGATTTCTGCGACGGGTTCCACCTCTTACAGCCGTGTATCAGATCATCCCACGATGTCACGAATATCGACAAATCTACTAGATCTGGAGCGGGAAATAGAGAATAAGATAGTAGTGGTCGCTGATTACGAGGAGGCGGTGGCGCGACTACACGACACGGTTGGAGACGATTGGAATTGGATCCTCAATACCACACTCCAGCAGGGTAAAGCAAGCCTAAAAGAATTGGAGGATCAGTATATGCGCATTGCGTTGAGGCACCATGGTCGACGTCTTCACGAAGATTCCTACGTACCGACAATCTCAATCTCAGAACTCAGGCGAGTCATCTATGCAGAGTCAGACGCTTGGGATGATCTGGTCGCTCACCTGAACACATGGGAAAGGATTGACGACAAAAGGATACGCCTGGAGCGGGAGCTTCGCGACAAGCAGCAATCCAAGCAACGAAGCGTGGTCCGGGAGATCCAGGACGACATCAGGGACAATACAGAGAGGCTTGAAGGGATAGGACTCGAGTGGCAGCACCTTCTAGCAAGAGCATATAGAAAGATGACGGCGGCGAATCGCGCAGCAAAGAGTCATCTAAAAGAGCCAGGCTTTGGCAGATGGGCTCCTGTGCCTGCGCCCGTCCCAGTCACTGCTACACCCGAATCTGCTAGCATCGCAGTCGCTGATGCTTCCACACCAACAACTGTCGCAATCACCGCTGCGCAAGTCAGGGTCTCAGACATACCTGCCCAGGTGGAAGCTGCCGCTAGAGATATACAGATGAGCACAGCTTCTGGTGTTGTGACTTCAGGTTCCAGAACCAAGACCGCTATCATCAAGTTAGACGAGAGACTGTCGAGCCTCATACTCTGTCCCCGACTGAGCCAATATGCAGATGTCAAGCCCGTTCCCCAGGAAAATTTCAGTGTCGGTGACATCGGCTGGTTCCCTGTTCTGCGTCCCTCCTTGTCGGTGTCTTCCTCAGACATCCACACTGAGTTCGGTTACATTTGCGCCAAATCATATCCAGTCGTCATTGTGGAGTACCTGGATGACTGCATGTTGGGTCTGATCATCTCCACGTCACATGGAAACGGTTTGCGGTTGAAAGGCGAATCTGTTAGAGATCGAAGCGTCCCCGTCGTCGACCAGTCTTCACGTTTCCCCGTACCCGACCCGTCTAATTGGGGCGCCGATCTTTCTCCCAGGCAAACAATTCGTGTCGAGAACCTCAATGGTCAATATCGTCCTCCCGCAAGCGCTTACATCGACATGCTAAATGCGATCATGATACCTTATGACTCAAGGTTTCAAAAGGAGGGGGCTATAGTGAAGGACGACGTTCTTGCTTTGCAGCGTATGAGACTGTCGGCTCTCCTTATGAACTCTGACGCTGGAGGATTTGGAAGTTGCAGCAGTCTCTGGAATTACTGGACAGGATGGTTGAGAGACGTGACTGGCTTTGAAAATTAAGCTGACAACTGGGTGGTCTCTGGGTAAAGATGGATGTGAATCGGCGAGGAGAATTGCAATGGAAAAGGAAGATCCGCGCGGAGATGTTGCTCAAGGATGGGTTTGAGAAAACACATGGCCTACATACCTCGCGTTGAGTTTCAAGCGTCAGTCTAGTTGCGACTTTGAACAACATAAATATCCTGTATGTGGGTATCGATGTTGTTTGTCTTGCATTGGAAAGTAAGCATAAGAATGTGTCATTTCTCTTCACATGACACGCCTGTACAAAGCAAATATTGAACATGCATTCCCATCAAACAGACATTCTGTAATCTCTATATCTCGTGGTATCTTGCGAATTACAACCTTCCCTCCAGCCCCAGTCCACCTTCCAAAATTACACACCACTGCCCTTCCCAACCCATCTCATCCCATTGACGCCCATCTCACCCACTACCAGCAGAAGAAGCAACAGGCGTATTCAACATCCCCGCACTAGCCTCATTCTCCAAACTAATCTTCATCTCCAACCAACTATAAAAACTCGCGCTCTTGCAAAAACTCTCATAAAGCCCATCCCTTGCCCTATGTCTCTGCAGCGGGTTCGACCCGCGAAACTTGACACTCGTCCCATACTTGCTCACACTGCTCATCAGATCCGGGACGTGGAAACTGGCGTACCGGTTTGCGCCGCCGGGCGTAACGACGTTGGAGGTAGCGAGGTAGCGGTTTATGGGCGCAATGAACTGGGCGGTGAGCTCGGCGAAGTGGCGCCGGATTATGGGGCCTAATTCGCGGGTTTGGTCGCCGAGTTTGAGGAGGGATTCGATTTGCGATACGACTGCAGGGTCAGATTTGAGGAAGCGTTTCGAGGGCGTGTGGACTTCGATGCCGCCGCCGGGGAGGTCGAGGAGGGCGTTGCGACTAGATTTGTGGTGGAGGGAGTGGTGGCGGCGGGTTGGGACGGGGCCGTCGAAGTTCTGCAGGTACAGGATGTGTGGCCGCGCTTTGTGGCTGGCTTCTGCGGCGGCGACGATGCGTTTGAGTAAGAAGGGGTTTGTGACGCCGATGATGAAGGAGGTTGGGGTCCCGCCGTCGATGCCGATGCTTTTGAAGTTTGCTTGCATGGTCATGTAGGGTTTTACTACACCGGCATAGGGGACGGGGCAGATGAGGTCGACGAGGGAGGAGACGGCTTCACTGGCTAACTGGGGTGACTTTGCGATGACGATGACGCTTTCGCAGAGGATGAGCTTTTCGTACAGAACATAGAGGTCTGTGATGCAGGGCATGTAGTGCATAATGTTATCCCAGGAGCCGACGGGTTCGTAGGCGTAGATGGAGAGGGGGATGTCGGAGATTAGTGGCGTGGGTCCTGGGAGTCCTTGGAGAGGGAAGGCGCGATGTGGTGCGATGTCCAGGGTCAACATGCTGCCCATGAAGGGGAGATCGTGACGTCCGAGTGCTGGGGGCGCCCATGTGTTCATCTGTGAGAATGCAGCTTCTAGAGTCGTTGGGTCGCTGAGGGGTCCGGACTCTGTCATCTTTTGTAAGATGCGATGATGGAAGGAAGTGAAGTTGTGGTGGGAAATCATGACCAGTGTTCTTTGATTGAAGCTCCTCTTCATGGTGTCGTCAAACTCTTGGCGGAAGATACATGAGCCGTATAAGGTGTCTGGGCTGCCATGAGGGGCATTCGGCGAAGTCAGTTTGATGTCAGGCGAGTTGTTGGCGATGGCGAAGTCGTAGCAGAGGTCTTCGGCGGTCTCTGTGTTCTGTTGCTCAGGAAAACTAGATGCGACTTAGATTGCACCACTCGGAACGGGCGGACGGATGTACCTGTTGAAGCATATAGCACTCAGGTCGGCCGTCGTAAAGGGCACATCTGGAGGGTATAGAATCTCGATTTCTGGGCTACAAACTCAATACATTACTTCGAAGACATGGCACTCGGATGACCTACCCGATATCAACATTGAAATTACAAACTATACTGTTGATGTAAGCACTCGTCACTCGGAAGACAAACAAGACTTACAAAGCCACGGCCCAGTGCTTGAACCCGCCTGTCGCAACAGGCGAGACCTTGGGCTCTCTCAATTTCTCCATGTCATCGTCTCGCCGCGAACGACGGTGGGGGTTCAGGAATTTATTCTTGAACTTTTCCATGTCGACGCTGGTCGCACCTGACAGGGGCAGGTGAACCCTTGGGTGATGTGAGGCGGCGACGACGGCGAAGGGTGTTGGTCAGAGCGAGCGAATGACTTGGGAAGACTAAGCGCCTAGCGGCAAGGGGAGCTGCCAATCGCCATGACACTGAGGGTCGTGAGAATGGGCAGAGGGCAGTCGTGAAGACATTTCCCTTGGGCATCTGCTCGGGGTTGCTTTTGGAAGTGTCTCGTTTATCGGCGGGTGCTAGCGACAAGGATAGGCGGTTGTGTAGGAAGGCACGATGACGTGTGTGCCTTCCGTTAAAAGCGCAGATCCCTGTCGTGACCCCGTCGGCTCGAGCATCGTGGTTTACACTGTGAAGGGCTGCACGTTCCTCCTCGCCCGGCTTCACGACGCTCCCAGTACCCCGCACGCAGTTAGTTGAAGATGCGATAGGCCGGCGGCTGCACCATGTAGACTTGTCCTGCCCGCGACCTCACCATGGACGTCAATATCACTAAAGCCCTCAACGACAAGCTCTACGACAAGCGCAAGAGCGGCGCGCTCGAGCTCGAAGGCCTCATCCGCGACGCCCTCGCCGCCCAGGACCACGACAGGATAGCCCGCATCGTGCGCCAGCTGTGCCAGGAGTACGCCTATGCTGTCCACCAGCCCCACGCCCGCAACGGCGGCCTGATAGGGCTGGCTGCCGCCTCGATAGCCCTGGGCCCGGTGCGTAGACATATCTGATACGCAGCTTGACATTCCTACTGACATCTCCCCAGGAAGTCGCTCGCTATCTCGAAGAAATCGTCCCCCCGGTCCTCGCCTGCTTCAGCGACCAAGATGCCCGCGTCAGGTACTACGCGTGCGAGAGCATGTACAACATCGCAAAGGTCGCCAAGGGCGAGATACTCGTATACTTTAACCAGGTCTTCGATGCCCTGTGCAAGGTGAGAAGACCCATAATGCCTCCTGCAACTGGTGAGACAAGGCTAACACGGCCCGGACCGTCCAGATGGCTGCAGATTCGGAGCTCTCAGTCAAGAACGGCGCAGAACTGCTCGACCGTCTGATCAAGGACATCGTCTCCGAGTCGGCTGCCAGCTACGTATCTGTCCTACACGACACGCCCGACCAAGAAGACCCCGAAGACGAGCCCCACCCATTCGCTTTCAACCTCGAACGCTTCCTGCCCCTCCTCGAAGAACGCATCTATGTCCTTAATCCGTTCACACGTTCCTTCCTGGTAGCATGGATCACGCTGCTCGACTCCATACCCGACCTCGAGCTCATCGCTCACCTCCCTCGCTTCCTCGGTGGCCTCTTCAGATTCCTGAGCGACACCAACCAAGATGTATACACCATGACGCAGGCGGCATTGGACAGGTTCTTAAGCGAGATCAAGAAAATCGCCCGCATCAAGAAGGGCATAGCAGAAAGCAAGAGGAGCAACGGCAAGGACGATCGCAGGAACTCTACGGGTAGCATCCATAGTGGCAGCGAAGCGACAGACAGCACCCCTCTCGAGCTGGACGATTCGATCAACGACAAGGGCGAGGCAAGCGGAGAGAGCGGCTCCATCTCTGGCGACAGCGGAAAGTCTGTCAACGGCGACGGAAACTGGATACCTGGCCAGGATGTGCACGTAGACCATCCCAAGATCCTTGAGATTCTAGTCGACTTCCTGGTGCCCCCATCAGGTGGGTTTAACAAATACTCTATACAAGGATCGAAGCTGACTGGTGTAGGCACAGAAGAAGAGCAGACTGAAATACTGCTCACGGCACTCCGCTGGATAGACAACTTCTTCGACATTTGCCCAGAGGACATCATGCCGTTTGTTCCCAGTCTATTGTCGCACGTCCTGCCGCGCATGTCGCACGACGTCGACACCGTTCGCAAAGCTGCAGTCAAGGTCAACGCCTCGTTGATGGACTATATACTGTCATTATCTGACGATAACCGCCCCCGCGATGGTGCTGCAGGTGGACAGATTCAGCTACCGCCTTCCCTATCTGAGCTAGGTAAAGAGCTCACCGGCACGCAGCGGCGCGATTCTAATCTATCTGGCCGATTGCTCAAGGCAGTCATCCGCGATCAAGCAAACAAGGCTGAATCGCCAGATGGCAAGGGTACGCGATCGCCCACACCAGCAGAGGAGCGAGGCCCATCCCCGCGTCCAATACCAGAGCTGGACTACCAAGCTGCTGTCAGCGCTTTGACGCTGCAGTTCTTGAATGAACACGAAGCCACTCGCGTTGCGGCCATAGCATGGCTGATAATGCTCCATAGAATGGCACCTGGCAGAGTGAGTGTAAACATGCTGGCAATAAGGCAATTGCTAACAATCTCAAGATACTGACAGTGGATGACGGCACATTCCCTGCATTGCTGAAGACGCTTTCGGACCCTTCAGATGCAGTCGTTACGCGCGACTTGCTTCTTCTATCACAGATCTCACTGCACAGCGATGATACCTACTTCACTTCATTCATGGTTAATCTCCTGAAGCTGTTCTGTACAGACCGCCGACTCCTCGAAACTCGTGGTAACCTCATCATCAGACAGCTCTGCATAACATTGAGTGCTGAGCGTATATACCGTACCATGGCTGATTGCCTTGCGAAGGACGAGGATGTCGAATTTGCCAGTATCATGGTGCAGAACCTCAACAACAATCTCATTACTGCCCCAGAGCTTGCTGATCTACGAAGACGACTCAGGAACCTCGACAACAAGGATGGCCAATCGTTCTTTGTCATTCTGTTCAAGGCGTGGTGCAACAACGCCGTCGCTACCTTCTCACTGTGTCTACTTGCCCAAGCTTATGAGCAAGCATACCATCTGCTTCAAGTTTTGTATGTTCCTCAACGTGGTATTCAACGGGCATTACTGACTGTGATAGTGCGGACCTTGAGATGACCGTCAACATGCTCATCCAAATCGACAAGCTCGTCCAGCTACTCGAGTCTCCCGTCTTCACATGTAAGAACCTCTCCTCGAACCGTGGCACCTTACTAACTGTAGTGACTAGACCTGCGCATGCAGCTCCTGGAGCCAGAGCGGTACCCGCACCTCTACAAGTGCATGTACGGCCTGCTCATGCTGCTGCCTCAATCGTCAGCGTTTGCAGCGCTCAAGAACCGTCTTAACAGCGTCTCGGCCATTGGCTACCTGCATATTGCGCCGCAGCGCAGCAGCTCGACGTATGTGCACCCTTCCTCCTCCTCCCCTACCCTAAACCACTTGCGGCAAAAAAGCTCAGAAGTTGGCTCGAACAGCAGTGCTAGCAGCGGCATTCCATCCTCTGCAGGATCCAATGTTTCGACATTCGAACGCCCTGGCCGCTTGAAGCCAAGAGATGGTCTGGGTGGCCCCGAGGCTGGAGGAACCGTGAAGTGGTCAGAGCTGCTCGACAGGTTTAAGCAGACGCAGGAGAAGGCGAGACGCACTCAGCGGATGGCCAGCATGGGTGAAGAGGAAGAGATGCAGGAGAAGATGGGCCCCAGGGCACCTACGCCGAGTGCACCTCCCAAGAGCGTTGCTGGGCTGAGACCCGGTAGTCCTGCGAACGCGATGCGACCCCCACCCCAACCTGCGCCACCGGGTCCAGTGCAGGGCCATAAGCCAAGGTCTAGCCTGAGCAACCTTGGGCGGTTCGCTGGGGGTGTAGCCGGAAGAAGGAAGGATAAGAAGTAAACGTTGAGACTTATTTCTAGCTTGTGATTTGTGCGTTGGCGCGGGGGGACTTCAACTGCATTGCAGGCGTTGTTTGGGGAGCAGTAATGATGGGTATTCTTCCAAGCATGAATTGGCGTAATCTGAATCACATCTTCAACGATGCTTGCCCTTTCTGAACCTGACTCCATCCACGTCTTTCTCTTTCCACCCTGTTGTGTCCCCCTCCTTACCCTCGTCCTCGCCCAATACCCATGTCTTGACTATCTCCTTAATCTCCGGCTTCTTCTTTTCTAAGCGCTTTGCTTCCCGCACCTTCCTCACATACCCACTGTATACAGCTACCTCGGCAACTGCAATACCCAACGATCCTCCCATGCTCAGTCCTAGTCTACTGCCTACACTCCAGTGTCGCGCTGCTACCCATATGAATACTGCCACACACACAACCGAGACTAAGATGTTTATGATGAGGATGATCTGGCGATGCACTTCCTCATATGATAGTTCGTCTTCCTCGCTAGTAGTCTGTGTTGCTCCAATCGAGAATGGTTCTGGGGCGCGGGGGAAGCGCTGAGAGAAGGATTCGCGTGTTGGCGGCGGGTGTAGCATGCGTTCATAAGAGAGGGCTTCTTGCTCGGCGCGGAGACGGGCCATTAGGGCGTGGTATTCGGGGGTTTGCGTGGGCTTGGGGGGAGGCGGTGGGATGTAGATTGTTGTGTTGTGCAGGAGGGCGGCGAGGGTCGTTGGCGTGGGAGATGAGGTGTCTTCTGTGGTCTCTGAAGTGTCTTTGGTGTCTTTGTCGACATGCTTCTTCAGCAGCTTTGACAGGTCGATCAACTGGCTGTGGGAGATGGGATTCCCGACTTTGGGCTCCGCAAGCGAGGGCTCGTCGGCATGCTGGAGTTTCTCGTAGTCGTCGGCGGATACGTCTTTGGCTGTTGCGACTGCCCGGACGATACCGGGAGTCATAGTAAGCAGGACCATGGCTGTGTGGAGTGTGTTGTGTAGACGGTAAGAAACAGCGTCACAGGCACGCGCCATAGACGACGCGACAGGGATGTGCGGCGACCGAGGGGAGCTAGCGTTCGGAACGTCATGGATATTTTGACTTCGACAAATCTAGCCGATAGCTGCGGGCGAACATATCACTAGCCCACTTCACCACCACCACCCACTCTGTGTGTTCCGAGACGCTGCTCCAACCCCTCAATTGCACCGTCTCTGCCCGTTTCAGACAAAGTTTCACGGCCCAACCCCCCATGACGAGCCGCACACCCCGGCTCGCGACGTCCATCGCGCGACAGCAAACTTCGTCACTATCGCACATCTCAACATGTCCCTACCGTAACGCCGCCCTCGCCCGCTCAATACACACGCAGAAAAATGCGACACCAAGCCTCCACCACCCCTCGCGGCGGCGAAACCAGTCGTCCTGGGCCGCCGCCGCCCACGTAGCGCAAAACGTCATGTCGTCGCCGCCACCGGATGCGCCCATCAAGATGGACCCCTTCCAAACCGTCGCCCGCGAGATGAAGTTCCTCACCGGAAACATACGATCCCTCCTCGGATCCGGGCACCCCACCCTCGACACCGTCGCAAAGTACTACACCCAAAGCGAAGGAAAATACGTGCGCCCCATGCTCGTCCTGCTCATGAGCCGAGCCACAGCCCTCACACCGCGGAGTTCAAGACGGGACTTGGGAATCGGGAGCCAGAGCGCGGATATCTCGATAACCAATCCACGGATCCTGGCAGATGAGAACCCGGATCAAAGTCCTATTAGCAGTATACGACATGACTCTGCGTATACGGCTGAAGACAGCGATATCCTCCCTTCCCAACGCCGCCTCGCGGAAATCACAGAATTGATTCACACGGCTAGTTTACTCCACGACGATGTGATCGACCACTCCGTCTCCCGCCGCGCCGCACCCAGCGCGAACATTGAATTCGGCAATAAAATGGCCGTTCTGGCTGGCGATTTCCTGCTTGGCCGTGCCTCCGTCGCACTCGCCCGTCTCCGCGACCCAGAAGTCACAGAACTCCTCGCTACCGTCATCGCAAACCTCGTCGAGGGCGAATTCATGCAGCTCAAAAACACGGCTCGGGACGAGAAGAACCCCAGTTGGACAGAAGACACAGTAGCATACTACCTCCAAAAAACATACCTCAAATCCGCGTCCCTCATCTCGAAGAGCTGTCGCGCCGCCGCTATCCTGGGTGGCTCGAGTCCCGAGGTCGTGGAGGCGGCGTATCTGTATGGAAAGAACCTGGGTCTTGCATTCCAGCTCGTAGACGATATGCTGGATTACACGGTTAGCGAAGCGGAGCTCGGGAAGCCAGCGGGTGCGGATTTGGAATTGGGACTTGCGACTGCGCCGTTGTTGTTTGCGTGGAAGGAGGAGAGTAGTTTGGGGAAATTGGTTGGGCGGAAGTTTTCTGAGGAGGGAGATGTTCAGAGGGTAAGTCTTGGAATATGCCCGCATTGTGCGGGGAGTTGAGAAGAGTGGAGTGCTAATCGTTTGACACAGGCTCGCGAAATCGTTTCTCAAAGTTCGGGTCTGGAGCAAACCCGCGCTCTGGCACAAGACTACGTCGACAAAGCCATCGAGGCTATCTCCTTCTTCCCCGAAAGCGAAGCCAAGACCGGATTGGTGGATATGTGCACCAAGGTTATGAAGAGGAGAAAGTGAACAAAGACCCGGAATCATATAAGCGACACTCATCCAAAAGCAGCATCTTCGTTTGAGCCATTTGCAGAATATCTGTATGAACACCATTTGCAGGTCGATACATGGCACGGCGCGGCATTTCGCGATATGAGGACAACGCATCCGGAATCTGACGAGAAATAGTGGTCATGTTTTCACGCATCGATGGTACTGGAGTGCTGCACTACGATGCGGCAACTTGCTGACGCGGGTCTACTCGTTTCACGATCGATACCTGGCGGAGATACACTCTACTTCTGTATATATACATGTTTACGAAATACTAGAGAGGGCATAGTCAGGGATTCCATTGGGAGTCCAAACATATGTTTATATATCGTTTTCGAACGGCCGCACGACCTGTCCCTTTTCTTGCAGGTGGTCTTTAACTTGTTTGACTGTGTATTCGCCTCTGTGGAACTGCAACATGTTAGTCACTATATCCATGTTCGGAATGAAAGTAGAATGGATACTCACCATTCCAGCACCCAACGCAGCATCCGTCTTCGTCTTGGCAAACACCTCTTCGAAATGACCGGGGTGTCCTGCGCCACTACTCGCGATAACAGGGATCTTGATCGCGTCTTTGACGTCGTTGATGAGCTCTGTGTCGAATCCACTGTTGCTTCCGTCTTTGTCGATGCAGTTTAACAGAATCTCTCCTGCGCCCATGGCTTCGACTGCGGTGACGAGTTGTCGGACGTCGAAGTCGCGGCCTTCGCGTCCGCCCTTGATGGTGCATTGGTACCAGCAGTATTCCTCGCCGTTGGGACCTGGAGTTGTGGTTTTGATAGTGTGGTGGGGAGTCGCGTCGGGCGAGGGGACGTATACGCGCTTGGGGTCTACGCTGATGACGACGGCTTGTCTACCATAGGCAGATGAGATGGTTTCTATGGCCGTGGTGCCAGAGAGTTTGCTGCTTCGCGCGTAGTATTCTTCCGCTGCGGTCACGGCGTCAGAGCCTATGCTTACTTTGTCTGCGCCGGACTTGAAGTACATGGTTGCGATGTCAAGAGCGGAGATCTTGCTTCCGTCTGTGTCTACTGTGTCGCGTATGCCTCCGCCGATTGTCAGAGGAACGAAAACAGTTTCACTGGTCCGGCGCAGGATCTCGAGCATGGGTGTGTCGGCTACGGGGCAGTTACGGAAGGATGTGATGTTTAGGAAGGTGACTTCGTCGGCGCCTTGTTCGTAGTATTTCTTTGCCATTTCGACGGGCTTGCCTAGGTTGCGCACTCCGCCGCCGGCTCCTTCCTTTTCGCGGACATCGTATTGGTCGCCTTTTGTCACTACGAGATCGCCTTGGTCGTTGGTTCGGACGTCGAGACAGGCGATGACGCGTCTTGTTAGGCCTTCTTTTGTTTCGGCTGCTGATGACTTTTCCGGTAGCTTTTGTGACATATTGCCGTCCAACCAAGCCTTTAGGACGCGAAGTCCTGCTGCGCCGCTCTTCTCAGGGTGGAATTGTGTGGCGAAGATGTTTCCCTTTGCGACTGCGCCGATGAACTCCTCGTCGCCGTACCGTGCTGTAGCGACTGCCCAGCCATCCTTCTCTAACAGACCCTCCTCATATATCGCGGCGTAGGAGTGGACATAGTAGTATTTCGACGTCGGTCGCAGCCCGTACAATGAGTCATCCGTGACTTCTCCGGTGCGCGATGTGTTCGCGCTGTTCCATCCGATGTGTGGTACACTCTTGTCTGCGTCCTGGAACTTCCGTAGTCGCATAGGGATGACTCCCAGACCTTTAACCTCAGGACTCTCTTCTGATCCTTCAAACAATGCCTGCACACCGACGCATATTCCCATGAAAGGTTTCCCCGCCCTGATGTGTTCGCGGATGGGTTCGACGTAGCCGGCTTTCTCTAGCTGGGACATGCAGTGGCCGAAGTGGCCGACGCCAGGAATGATGAGTTTCTAGGGGCGATGCTGCATCAGCACTTGTCAATTGTTGCGCGCGTCTTGGTGAGAGGGCGGTGGTACCTCGGCAGAGGGCACGTCCGCGGGCGTCTTGACCCATTCGACGGTGTAGCCAACCTTCTCGATGGCATTGACGAGGGAGCGGACGTTGCCGGCGACATAGTCGAGCAAGTGAACTGTCGGCATAATTGGGGATATTCGGAGGGATGATTGTAAGAGTGTTTGACTCCGAACAGTGAAAAGTAATTTGGATGCACCCCACGCGTCATTGGAGGGGCAGTCACGCTACCGCTAGCGCCCGCTGCACCCCTGTCAAATAATTCTTTGGATCTTCATCGTCGTCGCGAAGCCATCGCAAGCACTCACGACCCACCACCCACCACAATCCCATATCAGCATCGTCAACATGGTGCGCAAACTCAAGCATCATGAGCAGAAGCTCTTGAAGAAGGTATGCATCACCTGATATTTCCCGCTGCCGGTGCGCATCGCCGTGTGGACGGCCGCGCGAACAACCGCCATCCTCGCCATGTCCAATAGCGCTACCTCGCGCCTGCGAAGCATTCCAGAATAGTTCTCAGGTACTAAAATTCGTTCGCAGGTTGACTTCAACACCTACAAAAGCGACAATGACCACCGAGAAGCCGCCGTCATGCGCCGCTACGCAATCCAAGGACGCGACGACTACCGCAAATACAATCAGCTCGCAGGTTCATTACGACAACTTGCACACAGAATCGCCAATCTCGACCCATCTGATCCCTTCCGCGCTAAGCAAGAGGACCTGATACTTGAAAAGCTGTTCTCGATGGGTTTGCTGGGAACTGGTGGTGGCGGCCGTGGAAAACTATCCGATGTCGAGCACAAGCTTACAGTGAGCGCATTCGCGCGGAGGAGATTGCCAGTTGTCATGACTCGGCTACGCATGGCGGATCATGTACAATCTGCAGTCACACTCGTTGAACAAGGGGTAAGCACACTGGATGTCGCACATGATCTTTATAGACATGGCCTCTTTAAACACAATCAGGAACTAATAAACACACAGCACGTAAGAGTTGGAACCGATGTCATCACAGACCCAGCCTACCTGGTCTCAAGGAATATGGAAGACTTCGTCACATGGGTCGACTCCTCCAAGATTAAGCGCAACATCATGAAATACCGCGACAAGCTGGACGACTTCGAACTCGAGGCTCTATGAGGTTTTCTTTTCTTCTTTTCTTTTGGACGGCGTTTGTGGATACAGCATTTGAAGGCGTTACGACATACTCGCGATATCCGGCTATGGCAAAAATTGATCTTTGTTCTTCCACTTATACCTACCATCACATTTCAAGTACGTAGCGTGTCAGACGAACCCACGTCTCATCCTACGAGAACGAGCGAATGCGGTCACATGTCTTTTCTCAAGGGCGTTCGAATACGAGACCAGAGATTGGAAGAGATGCATTGGGTGGATGGCAAACCATGCGCTCTGAAAGACACCAAAACTCCCACAGCAATGCGATCTCCAGTGCGTTATCCTCCGCTGACTGTTGCGCACACAGGACAACGATAGCCAACGCCGGGTATACTAAGTCGGCATTGGCTATGTTTTTCCGACTGAACGAGCCGTGACCAATCATATTCCCTCACTGACGCCATACGACATGCAGTTCTTTACCCAAACCGGCAATGACAGTGCTTATGCTCATATCGGTACAACGCCCCCAAGTGTACTAGAATTTTGAGTCGGTTGCATGTGCATAAGTGCCATGTCGCTATCTCCATGCATGGGTGGGGATGTTTGGGGTGAATTCCGGGGTAGCTGACGGATCACACTAGGGAACAGCGGGACGGTATTTATGACAGTGCTGATCCTCCAGCTCTGTATTCGGATATTTCCAGTATTTCATACTGCATTGTCGCTTGCTACGCTATGGCTGCGAAAGGAGACCACGAGCCCCCGGTGGCACATATCGAAGCGCTCGAGCACAGCACGAATACATCGGATCACGACAACTACTTCCACAGCAATGATGCCAACGAAGAGATCGTCAGCCATCTACAAACCACCGGTGAAGACGTTGGCATGACCTGTGCGTAATGCCCAACATCCGGACTGGCCACCCAGTTATATCTAACTCATTCCAGTTCGCACATTGATGGCCGCCGTGTCCATGGCCATGTGCTACAACGCCTACCTCTTTACCCTCCTCATCCCACCAGCGATCCTCACGTATATCAATGCCGATCTTGGTCCAGATCCTAGATACACCTGGATTACGATATCGTGGAACCTTGGTGGCGCGATGTTTGTCACTGTTGGTGGACGACTTTCAGACATATTCGGCAGGCGATGGTTCTTCATTGCTGGAGCTATCATTCTCATCATCGGCGGTATCGTTTCGGCGACCGGACAAAGCATCAATCAGATGATCGCCGGCGGTGCCTTGTTTGGATGCGGTTCCGGGTTCCTGGAAATGGCATTTGGTGCGGTTCAAGAAATTGTGCCGAGCAAATATCGTCATGTTACTATTGGGTTGTTCGACGCCGCCTCGATCATAGCACAGATCATGCCCCTGGTCAGTTGGGTCATCATCAAGCAGACGGGCAACTGGCGTATTTGCTACTATGTCATGATAGGCTTCCAGGCTATCAACCTTGCCCTTCTGTTCTTCTTCTACCACCCGCCATCCTGGAAGGATAAGAAGGCTGAACATGGCAAGACTGCTGGACAGCTTTTACGCGAATTCGACTGGTTGGGGTTGTTTCTATTCCTGGCCGGATGTACACTATTCATCGTCGGTGTCAGCTGGGGTGGATCACAAGCTCCCTGGGTTTCTGCGACGGTTCTCGCACCGATCATCATCGGACTGGTAACCCTGATTGGTTTGGGATTCTATGAGGCCTACTACGATCTGACCGCACCACTATTCCCGCCGCGTCTTTTCAGAGCATTGCGCCACTTCACTGTTCCGATGCTAGTCATGGCCATAGGCGGGCAAGTAATCTCATTCGATGATACGGTTCAATCTAACGAATAACAGGATGCAATACTACTCGAACGCAACTCTGTGGCCACGCCTATCCCAACTCATCTACGCCACCGACGAGATATCCAAAGGCTTGTATGCCGAAGTCCTACCTCTCGGAACCATCATCGGTGGCATTATTGTGGCTTTCAGCAAGGTCATCGGACACCAACGTTGGGTCATAATGTTCGCCGTCGCGTTACAGACAGCCTGCGTCGGCGCCATGTCTACATCTACAATGGATAATCCCGTCAAGTCAATCATCCTAACAGTCATCATCTCAACCTGTACCTCTGTCAACCTCTTGAACGGCATGGTCTTGGTAGGCTTCGGAATCGTATATCAGGAAGATATAGGCACGGCAGCCGGTCTTGCAGGAACCTCTCGTCTACTTGCTGGCGCTGTCGCTACCGCCATCTTCGGAAACGTTACGAACAACAAGTACGGAGACGCATTACCTGCGCGCGTTCGTGCCAATCTTGCCCCCTTCAATCTCTCCTCGGATATCGTCACTAGGTTGATCACCGCGGCGAGAGCGAACACAGCTACCGGGTACCAAGCTATCCCAGGTATAACTCCTGCTATTCGAGCTGCAGCCAGTTTGGGGAATAAGCAAGCATACTTGGAGGGTGCGCATTTGTCGTATCTAGTAGCCTTAGCGTTCGGTCTGCTCGGAGTGGTGGCTGCCTTCTTCATTCCGTCGGTAGATAAGAGAAAGTACACCAGTAAGACCGTTGCTGTACAGAGACGCGACAGGAAAGAGTTGCAGGAAAAGAAGGTCGCGGGAACTGTAGGGCCATGAGTTCGTTTGCTCGTCGAGCTGCGTCCTTGTGGAAAGTTTTACATCAGCAATTACATGCGAAGTATTACCGCACCATCTACATAACATCAGTGTCGCTTTCAAAAGACACGATCCCATGCTCAATCTTTCTTCTCGCTCGCATTTGCACCAATCTCGACATCCGTCTTCGCCCAGTATTTGCTAAGATCTCCAACAGGCGGACATATAGACCAGCGCATCTCTGCAACCATGATGACGAAGAGCATGTACCAGCCCAGCAGGCCTACTATGAACAAGAGCGCTCCACCAGCCTGTACGCATCAGTAACGACCCCAAAAAAATGCCAGAGTAACTCACCTTCTGCAACTTCAACGCCTTATCAAAATCCCCCGTACTCAACGCCCAGTACGCTCCACTCAGCACCCAAGCCCCGACCGTCACAAATCCGAAGATACCCGCAAAGACCATGTTGATCCGGATAGTAAACAGCCAGAACGTCGCTAGCGCGAAACCCCACACAAGCAAGTATAACGCAATGACCGCGTTCATCTCCTTGCTCACCATCCCTGCTGCTGCATCGCCGGTGGGGGAGTAGGCGGCGGCGAGACCCAGCGTGGGCAGTTGCAACATACCGAAGGAGAGCCAGAAGACGGCGAAGAGACCGCAGACCATCATGGGGAAGAATTGGGCTTGGATCCAGAGGAAGATTGTGGAGAGGGTTAGGAGGAGGGGGCCTGTGAAGAAGAATATGCCGCTGCAGGGGGATGGGGGTTAGTATGGGGTGGAGTTGGGATGGGGTTGGGAGGGAATGGACCTACACGACTGCTTGCATTCCGGCGGCACCGCCCCAACCCATTAGTACCATGGAGAACGTGAAAGTTGAGATGACGAATCTGCCATTCTTAGTATCGATACCGTCCACTCCGTAAAGAGGGTCTCACCCCAAGAAGCCCAAAGGTGTCGCATTAGCATATTTTCCGACGTTCTCATTTGCATGTGGTGTCTTCGGCGCGAGATACAACTTCTCGAATAGCTCTGGGCTGATTGAGATGTTGGTTGATGTGTGTGCGAGATGTGGCTCTTTGTCGATGCGATCGGAGTCTGTGCTGTGCGAGGTCACTGTTGTTGTCGCCATGGTGGTTGTAGTCGGTATGCTTGCAATACACGGGTGATGCAGAGTAACTAATGTAGTACTGTAGCAACCATACGATGGCCTTGTAGCTCGAGCACAAACTCAGGGTACTCCACGCTTATCAACTCGAAAGCTTCCCTGTCCGCCATCGCTCACCACTCCTCCTCCACACGCACATGCACAGTGGGGAACACGACATCTCGAGCGCCCTCTTCTTGGTCAACCACTCATCCATCTCACTCCCCCGTCTTCCAAG